TACACTGGATGCTCCCTTGTGACTGGCTTTTGGAGGAAGATAAAGAATGAACTTGCGGCCGGCGCTGCGGCTCACTAGGCTAATCTTCCACCTTGCGGCGCCGGCACACCGGGTTCTAGTCCTGGTCAGGGCGCTGGATTCTGTCCCGGTTCCCCCTCTACCAGGCCAGCTCTCTGCTGTGGCCAGGGAGTGCAGTGGAGGATGGCCCAGGTGCTTGGGCCCTGCACCCCATGGGAGACCAGGAGAAGCACCTGGCTCCTGGCTCCTGCCATCGGATCAGCGCGCTGCGCCGGCCACAGTGCGCCAGCTGCAGCGGCCATTGGAGGGTGAACCAACGGCAAAGGAAGACCTTTCTCTCTGTCTCTCTCTCTCACTGTCCACTCTGCCTGTCAAAAAAAAAAAAAAAAAAAAGAATGAACTTGCTTCGCAGTTGGTCTGGCTGGGTATGCAGGAGCTGGATGGCACGTGCACGCAGTCTCACTGAGGGAAACCTTCCAATGTGCTTGTTTCGGCTGCGGCATCTGGTCATTCCCTTCCCTTAGGTGGCTCCATCTAAGACCACACAGAGACTCATGGGAGTGGATGATGGTGCAGTGGTTGGCCCAGGGCCTGAAAGACTGGAAGACGGGGTGGAGGGCATGAATTTAGGGGAAGAAGGTCAGAGCTAGACCTGTGGGAATGGGGACTAAGTGTGGTGATCTTTGGGCTCTAAGTTAGTGCCGACCGGCAAGCATCCACTGCGGAAGAGGCCGTACCAACCCAAAGAATGACTCAGCCCCGCTGACTCGGAGCCTTTTATCCTGGCGCTGGCACAGTGGGCTCAGAGAAGCAGTAGCCATGGTGGCAGGAACACAGGCTGCGCCTCCTGGAAGTCCACACAGCTGCTACTGTCCCTGCTGAAAGTCTCGCTTGACAGCAACAGTGGCCAACGCTGAGATCCCAACACACACAAGACCACTCCTGAGAGCTGAGCCTGATCAGCTGAGTGCACCAGTCCCAAGTCAGCTACGCTGGATGCCTTCCATGTGGCCAGGGCATCCGTTTATCTGGGCTGGACGTGACTCACATTCTGAGTCTGGGTTTGCCGGGCCAGCCCACAACAGACACAGCACGGGACTCAGCAGAATGTTTGCTCACCGACATGGTGTGCCACGAAGCATCACTTACGGGTCTCTCCCTGGAGCAGAAGAGGTGCAGCTCAGGCACAGGTGGGCCTCAGAGGGTCCACAGTAGGCTCCTCTGTCCCTACCACGCTGCCCCAAAGCTGCCAGCCTGCAAGAGCAGTGGGTGATACTGCCCCTGCAGCAAGCAACTCTGTGGCCTAACACGTCAGTGTGCCACTGCTGCAAAACCCTGACAGAGTGGTCAAGGAACAGCCGACACACCGGCCTGGCCAAGTGACCCTGTGACAGTGAGCGTAGAATATTCTAGATTAATGACTGATTCATAGGAGTCAGTTCCCGGAATGGGTCCAGGAATCAAAGGGTGGAAGGAGACAAGGCCTTGCTGACCACCATTCCCAGGGGCCCACCTGCGCATCGGCGCTTCTCTAGGTCTTGGGGTCTTAGGTCCCAGAGCCCTGGGGAAGAAGGCTTCTCCCTTTGACTGTGCACCATGGCTGCTACCCAGCCATTTTAGGATCCCAGCCCAAAGTCCAGCAGTCAAGGAAATGAGTGGCACCGCACTAGCTGGAGCAAGAGACCCTGACCATCAGGCAGGGTGGCTGACACGCCTCTCTCAGGACCTCTTGCCCAGCTGTGATGGGAGGAGGACCAGGGTGGCAGCCACTGTCTGAGACAGGCACGGGGACCAGGGTTTCAGACCCTCCAGGACACAGGAACTGCACGCGAGCTCAAAGGGCGTCTGGAATGGGCAGAGGAGGAGAGAGAAGAGGAAGATCAGCTGTAGTCTGAAGATGAGTACAGCAGGAGGAGCTCAGCTCAGGCCCCTCGCTCACTCTAGTAAGCTTCCCTGGGAAAAACAAGCAACTAAAACTAGATCGCGCAGGCTTTTGGAGGCGACAGGGCAGAGTCTGTCTAAGTTTACCTTCAGAGTGAAAGGACTCTCTCAGTCCTTTTCCTTTGTCCTGTTTCTAGAAAGCTGGCAGCCACGCCCGCGACTCTTCTCTGTCATGCAGCCAGGGAGTAAAGCTGTTTCTCGGTAGCAGGCATGTAGCCTAGCAGTTCAGACATCGGAGTGCCTGCGTTCAGTTCCTGGCTCCGGCCTGACTCCAGCTTCCTGCCGATGCAGATGCCGGGAGGCAGTGGTGATGGCTCAAGGAGCTGGGTCCTTGCCACCTTGGGTGAGACCCAGACTGAGTTTCTCGTCCCTGTCTTTGCCCTGGTCCAGCCCCAGCTGTTGCAGGCATTTCGGGGGAGTGAACCAGCAGATGGGAGCTGTCTCTCTGCTTCTCAAAAAATATATATAAATAAATAAAAGTGCCACATCCAAAGAACAGGGAATCTGAATGTCACTGGGCACTTTTACGCAACAATGGAAACCAGAAGAAATGATGCTATGACTTAAAAATTCTAAATAAAACTGATTTCCATCCTAGAATTTGGTATCTAGCGAAACTGTCCATCAAGACAAGGTAGAATCTTCAGGAGTACCTGTTCTCAAAAGTTTACCCCCTGCACAATCTAAGTAAGCAAGGTACTAAAGGACTCACTTCACCAAAATTAAAGTAGAAACCATGGAAAAGGAAGACGCGAGATCCAAAAAACCGAAGACCAGCCAGGGAGAAATTCTGAGGGTGCAGAGCCGAAAGGTCCTCAGGGGGCTGGAAGAGAACAGGGAACAGAAAGACCCTGCTGCCTCACATTTGTCAGAGTCCAAGGATGAATGAGAAAACGAAGCAGGTGAAAAAACCGAGACTCCAGGGGAAGAAAGTGGGACAGGAAATGAAATCTCATTTGTCTCGGCAATAAGGAAACAGCTGTTCTAGTACAGGAAACACTAACTTAACCAAAAATGATGAGGTAACTGTATGTGCAGCTTGAAGGGGAAAGGTAGGAGGGAGAAAGTGAGAGGGAGAGGGAGGGAGCCAGCCAGAGCTGATGGGGGTCATACAAGAATTTTAAAAAAACCCTACCTCTTCATAGAAGGATGCAAAAATAATGTATACATTATATTACTTATTTATTTTAATTTTATTTGAAGCGGGGGAGAGTACAGATATCAGTCTTCCATCTGCTGGTCCACTCCCCAAATGCCCTCAGTGGTCAGGGCTGGGAAAGTTCACAGGAAGTGTGAACTGGAAGTTCTCCCAGGTCTCCCACATGGGTGACAGGCACTCAGCACTTGAGCTGTCATCTGCTGCCTCCCAGGCGCACTGGCAGACAGCTGGATCAGGAGCAGAGGCGGGACTCAATCCCGGGGACACCGGTTTGGGACTGCAGGCATCCCAAGTGGCATCCTAACCTGCTGCCCAACAATACTCACTCCAACAATTCCTTTTTTGTAAAGTTCCCTTTTGGGGGCCGGCGCTGTGGGATAGTGGGCTAAGCTGCTGCCTGCAGTACTGGCATCCCATGTGGACGCCGGTTCTAGTTCCAGCTGGTCCTCTTCCAATCCAGCTCTCTGCTAGGGCCTGAGGAAGCAGTAGAAGATGGCCCAAGTACTTGGGCCCCTGCACCCACATGGGCGATCTGCAAGAAACTCCTGGCTCCTGGCTTTGGATTGGCCCAGCTCCAGCTATTGCAGCCATTTGGGAAGTGAACCAGTGGATGGAAGACCTCTGTCTCTGTGTCTCCCTCTCTCTGTATGTAAATTTACCTCTCAAATAAATAAATAAATAAAAACAAACTTAAAAAAAGTTCCCTTTTCAGTCCAAAATTCCACTTACCAATTCAATACAATGTTAGTTGCCCCTACTATAAAATAAGTAAAAATTAGTGTTCTTTAGGGAGAAAAACAAAATTGTACTTAAGATTTATTTATTTATTTATTTAAAAGTGAGAGTTACAGAGAGAGGGAGAGAGATTTTGCATGAGCTGGTTCTTTCTACAGATAGCCACACCTGCCGGGGCAGGGCCAGGCCACAGCCAGGAGCCAGGAGCTTCTCCCAGGTCTCCCACACGGGTGGCAGTGTCCCAAGCACCTGAGCCCTCTTCTGCTGCGTTCCCAGGCCACAGCAGGGAGCTGGATCAGAGGTGGAGTAGCAGGGACTTACACCAGTGCCAGACGGCAGGCGTGCTGTTGTTGCAGGCGATGGCTTTATCTGCTATGCCACAATGCCGGTCCCTAAAATATCTTAAATCTGAACTGCTTTTCTCTGAGAGAAGAGTCTTCTGGTTTCTATTCGCAAACACTCAGTAAGACTACTTGTAAAACCACACAGAAAGACTGGCATTCAGCCTAGCAGTTAAGATGCTCGCATTTCAAGTCAGAGTACCAGGGCTCAGTGCCCACCTCGGGCTCCCAGTTCCAGCTTCCCGCCAATGCAGGCCTGGAGTGGCAGCCCTGACCCTGGCTGCTCTGAGGCTCTGCAGAGTGAATCAGCAGGTGGAACCTTCCTTCTCCCGCCTGCCTGTCTCGCAGATAAATAAAAGTGTCTTACGCAACCAAAGAGGACCAAACCTCTTCAAACGTGTTTGCACAAAAACGCACCCAGAAAGCTCTGAAGAACACACACCACGCTCTCACTACAGTCACCTCGGGGGAGGCCGAGGGACAGGAGGGCTCCGAGTGTGTTTCGCTCGTTTCCGCTGGTAGCTGAGCACAGGGTAAGCATTGCAAATGGCAGAAACACCACACACCACGCACGAGTGCTTCTCCCAGCTCCGCCTCTCCCCAGCTTCTCCAAAGACGGCCCCTCACCGCTAGTTTCCGAGTTCCCTTAGTGCAGCCCTCGCACGCTAAAGCGGACCTTCGCGGACGGTGTTTAATTTCACACACGCGAGTGCTAGCACACTAGCCACACTGCTCTGCCCATCGCTTCTCCCCTGCCAACGCTCTTGCCCTAGAAACAGCCTCGGTGACCTCCCCGCACAGGTTACCTCCAGTCTGCCTTGCTGGCTTTTATACACCACTTGGGGACTCTCCTGCAGAATGCTGCTGTACAGCTCCCGGAAGTGGGCTATGTTGGGCTTCACAATATTCAACACTTTTGACTTTTCCTCTCCAATCACCATCCGAAAGTCACCTAAACAGAAAAGCCAACACTCTGTTAAGAATTCACCCTCTGGGGGCCGGTGCAGTGGGCTAAGCCACCGGCTGCGACACCAGCATCCCACACTGGCGTGCTGCTTCAAATCCTGGCTGCTCTGCTTGTGACCCTGCTTCCTGATAAGGAACCTGAGGTGCAGCCGGTGACTGCTCAGAGACCTGGATGGAGTTCCAGGCTCCTGGCTTCGACCTGGCCCTGCCCTGGCTGCCCAGTCATTTGTGGGAGTGAGCCAGCGGATGGAAGATCTCTTTTCCTATAAACCAATCTTAAAAAGCAAAAACAAAAAGCAACTCCCACTCTGTTTCACGAGCTACAGCTTGAAATTGACACTGAACAGATTCGACCTGGCAGGAGCCCTCATGAGAAGACTGGCTGTTCCTCCTTAAATCCCCGAACACGCGGCTCAGGCATACGGAACCTCGCTTAGGTAGGAGACCAGGCAGCAAAGTCCTGGACGCCGGTAGAGACACGGAGACCTCAGTCCACAAGGCAGCCATCAGCGAGAAGCTTACTTCACTTTTGTTTTCCCAGCTAGAAGCTTCTACACTTAGAAACGTCCGTCTTCTGAACACGAGCCTGCTGTGGTCCATCCCGGAGACCGGAGTTGCACGCCATCATCCTAGAGTGTCCTTGCCATTGCTTCCTCAACCTTGACCTGCTGGCTGTGTTTCCATGCAGGATTCTGAGGCGCCTGATGCACACAGTGAACCTATGACACCTGGTTAAGGGCAGCAGCCGTGAGCGTTAAAAGCCCTCATGAGCTGCAGTTGACACATGAGACGAAGTTGAAAGCAGATATAACTTTAGAAACTGTCAAGCGGTGACAAATGAAGAACGCTCCAGTTGCCTGTGCGATGGATGAACTGAGCTGGCAAGATCAAAACTTCTGAAGGAACAACAAGCAACTATGTGGCTGACAGTCACCAGTCAGACGTGGAGGGAGGGGCGGCATCCCCTGGGACACCCGAGTGCATGGCTGCTGCAGTAAGGGGAGTGCAGAAGAGGGCGGACAACCGCCCTGAGAACCTGTCGCCTGAAACCTCTGCTGGACAGGCGACAGCCACCCGGGGGGCAGGGCGTGGCAGGTGCAGGCAGGCAGACACCCCGGCTGCGCAGGGGAGCCCTGCATGGTGACGTCATCTGTCACCTGAACCAGGTCCCTTTCAAGGGTGAACAGAGCGCCATAGATAATTACGCCAGGAAACAGGTTTAAACGGGGAAAGCGAGGACCTAGCATTGCCCTGGCTGTTGTCTTTCCTCTGGAGGGGGGAAGGGATCGTGGAGGTCACGACCTGCACAATGTATTTTCTTAGACCCAACTGTTGACTTGTACAACAACAACAGAGATACGAAGATGCCTAAGAGGATACACTTCAGTCAGGGGTAAAATGTGCTGGGTCTTTAAGATTCCAACTTCTAACTCACACTGTGATTTGGTGGAACACAGCTGGGGACTGTGAGTTTCAGGGAGACAGGCTTCAGACCGCCTCTGGAACCTGGCCTGGGTGCGGGTGGCACAGGTGAGCCCCAGTCACAGCAGGTGCTCGCCTGTGGGCGAATGTGCTTGGTCACCATTATTTTAAAGGCAAGGAGAATTACAAGGCTGAAACCTACATCACTGCTAACGAGGGTGTCGAAAATCGGTCCTTTCACGTAATACTGCCAGTATTGCTAAAACCCTGCTGGAAAGCAGTGAGCCGAGAGACCCCTGAACAAAGAAACCAGGAGCAGACGTTCACAGGAAACGTGAGACTGAGAGGTAGTGCTGACTTAGTAGCTGCCAGGCACTGTTCCCAGCGCTCTGTTGTCCCGCCTCATTTAATCCTCATGGCTACCCTCTCAGGTACACAGTGTTCTATCCCCGTGTAGCACAGAAGGCAACAAAGACGCACAGATTCAGTTACCTGCCTACAGTTTCCCAGAAAGGGAATACATTACATATGAAAAGCTGTTCACTGAAGCACCACTTAGAATACTGACATCATGGAGGCAACCCAGATGCCCAACAATAGGGGAATGGATAAGCTATGACGGGACACCCACACCTATCAGGGGACACATGCTGCCATTAGACCTCACAGTACACACAGCAGGATGGAAGACAATCAGGCAGTGCTGAGCAGTAAGAAACAAGGATACAAAAGCAGTGAAACACAACCTGGAAAAAAAAAAAAAAAAAAAAAAAACAGAAAAGGACTCTATTTTTGGTTTAATAAAATACGCATTTACTATAGATTTTCGGTGGGCGTGCTTCACGTGAGCAAGCTTACTCAGCCCTGGCAGAGCCCTGCACAGCAGGACTGCTGTTAGCTCCAGTTTCCCAGCGGAGGAGACAAGGGCAGGGCTTCCCCGTCAGAGTGACGACACTTTGGAGGGCTATTTTACTTTACTTTGGAAGTTTCCTCCTCTTGCAGAACCCTGACATATTTTAAAATAAAATCATAGTGGGGTGGGTGTTTGGCTCAGTGGTTCAGACACCACTTGGGAGGCCTGCATCTCATACTACAGGCTGCTTCCTGTTTGTTTACTCCTTTATTGCTATTTTAAGGTTTATTTATTTGAAAGGCAAAGTGACAGAAAGAGAAGGAAAGACAGAAAGAGACAGAGATCGATCTTCTATCCACTAATTCACTCCCCAAATGGCTGCAACAGCCAGGGCTAGGCCAGGCCAAAGCCAGGAGCTTCATCTGGGTCTCCCATGTGGATGCAGGGGCCCCAGCACTTGGGTCATCCTCCGTGGTTTTCTCAGGTGCGTTAGCAGGGAACTGGATGGGAAGAGAAGCAGCCAGGACTCAAACCGGAGCTCATATGGGATGCTGGTGCTCCAGGTGGTGGCTTCACCCCCTGTGCCACAGCACCAGCCCTCAGCTTCCTGTTAATACCCACACCGGGAGGCAGCAGGTGATGGCTCAAGTACTTGGGAAACTGAGATTGAGTTATGTGCTCCTGGCTCAGCCTAGCCCAGTCTGGCTGCTGTGGGCTTTTTAGGAGTAAACCAGTAGATGAAGTTCTCTGTCTCTCTCTCTTTGCATTTCAAAAAAAAAAAAAAAAAAGAAAAGAAAAGAAAAGAAAATACTTCCTAAAAACTACAAATGGCGGAGCTGGTGATGTGGTGTAGTGGGTTAAGCCACCACTTGCAATGCCGGTATCCCATATGGGTGCAGGTTCCAGTCCCGGCTGCTCCACTCCCAATCCGGCTCCCTGCTAATGCGCCTGGGAAGGCAGCAGAGGATGGCCCAAGTGCTTGTTCCCCTGCACCCACCTGGGAGACCCAGATGAAGCTCCTGGCTGTGGCCTGGCCCAGCCCCAGCTGCTAAGGCCACTTGGGGAGTGAATCAGTGGATGGAAGATCTATGTCTGTCTCTCCCTGCCCCCACTCTGTAACTCTACCTTTCAAATAAATAAAATAAATCTTTAAACAGACATTTTCAAATTTCCAAAATGGTAAATTATAAGTTGGCTGGGTTAACTCCCGGTCGTGTCAGCCCTTACGCCTTCACTCAGGGCCTGTGAATGGATCCTATCCATCTCTGAAGGGATGAAACACCTTTTGATGGGGCCGATCCTGAAGCGAAAGACCACTCCGCATCACCTGAGTTCTGCACATTTGTGCTAGTCCTTCTCTCTCGGAGCATTCTGCAAAAAAGACGTTCTGTCTTAGCAACTTTCTGAGAGCAGAGAAAGCAAACACATCCGGAGCCCCCTAAAAGAACAATTGCATACTGTGACCCCAGCCCTGGAGGACACTCGGGCCTCGCTGAGAACGAGGGCTGGGGTGGCCGAATCCCGCTCTGTATCCCAGCTCCCTGGGCACCGATGAGCTCACGGAGGCACGGCAACAATCGGCTGCTGAACTGGATTTCTCCAGCTGCCACGTGGAGGAAGGCGCCTGGCCACGGGGAGGGTGAGCGTCCGGGCTGATTGCCTGTTTCTTCAGGACCGGAGGAATAAAACCATGCGCACAGCACGAACCGCCATCTGTTCCCTAGAGTCGGTTTTTCTTGCCTTCAGAGACGTGTTTGCCATAAAACACAGGGATTGGGAAAGACTGACTGCTGACTTTGATTTATGCCTCTACTGATGGTTTTAACCCTTGACTGCTCTACTCTGAGAACTGCCAGTGAAATACGACGGACGGGCACACAGAAGGAGAATTTCTCTTTGACTCTGAAACGAGACCAACTCGGAGGCTGGGTCCAGGCATGCCTCCAGCAGTCAGGGACCCGACCGTGAACGTGGGGACGCAGGGGCTCCCCCAGCACAGGGGCCTGGCTCTCAGGCCTGGTAACGTCCCAGGGTGATCTGAGTAAAGCTACCTCATCTTCCCAAGTCCATCTCCATTCTCTGGAAAATGGTGCCTTCAGACTGAAGTGCTAAGCTTTGCTAGCAGCACAGCGGTTACGACTGATGCTGTGATAGGTACACAGAGGAGACGGGGCAGGAATCCCCAAGCCTTGGATGAGAATAAACTCCCTCAGCACTGCTTTCTTTTCAGTTCAGTGACTGTCTGGGTAGTGACTGAGTACTGAGAGCTGCGCTAGACAGCAGAGATACAGAGACAAGGCCCGCCCCAGGCAGCGAGTGACATGGATAAAGCGGTTCTGTACAGGCTCCTGTGGGGTCACGGTTAAGGACAGCAGCCCAAACAAGATGCTGATATGGTAAGCACTTTATAACTTTCACAATAGCTTTTCTTGAGGTCTGATTCACCCATTTATTTATTTTTTTTTTTTTTTGACAGGCAGAGTGGACAGTGAGAGAGAGAGACAGAGAGAGAAAGGTCTTCCTTTGCCGCTGGTTCACCCTCCAATGGCCGCCGCTGCAGCCGGCGCACCGCGCTGATCCTGGCAGGAGCCAGGAGCCAGGTGCTTTTCCTGGTCTCCCATGGGGTGCAGGGCCCAAGCACCTGGGCCATCCTCCACTGCACTCCCTGGCCATAGCAGAGAGCTGGCCTGGAAGAGGGGCAACCGGGACAG